GAGCAGCCCACCCCGGTCTACTTCTCTGATTAGGCAGGCATCTGCGGGCATATCAGAATCGCGTGGTCGGATAAGGGCTTTTGCACATTCAGGGCACTTGGTTTGGCTCAGCATCCTTCGGACGACATATCCAGCAACATAATGCATAACTGGGGAATCGCTTTTTACCGAAACCATTGCGCAGTGATCTGTTGGGATGCCAGACGATTCAAGGATTTCATGTACTTCATTAAGACACCCTATGTCCATGAGCTCGTCAAGCTTCGTCTGGAACTCTCTCCCGTCTTTGCAGCTGCCATGTATGAGGCTCTTCAGCAATGACGGTGACACATTTCCGTTAGCAGGTGCCTTCGCCAAACTGCAGAACGACAGACAATTTGCCGAAAGCGGAAACTGGATTGGCGTCGGGTGGTCGTTGCTTCCCGACATTTGCCGCAAGATTCCGAACACATTCGCCAGAGGATCCTGGCTTAGTCTTGATGTCAGCAAGTACTTGTAACCAAGCTCTTTTGTGAGATATTCGAAAATCGACATGGTGCTTTTCAGAGTAACGCGAAGCCCTTCTGCAGTACCCTGGCTGAAGAAGCCCAGCTTTCCAACGTTTCCTTCCCACGCATCTAGATATGCAATAAATTCCTCCACTTCAACCAGGACTGGCGAGTTGGGACGCATGGCACCGCGGCTGCAGCGGGAAGTCATGGCTGCAATCAGCCTAGCCATTCTTCTGATAAATGACACTGTTGCATCACTAGAGCCAACGCCCCGTACTCTCTCGATCTCTTCCTTATATGCATACAAACCCCTGACCATCTCATCACTGAAAAAAGTGAAGGCATAGTTCACTTTCATTTTTTCAAATCCGTTCGGATCGATGACGACTCTTGTGACACGAGGCATTGCTTTAAGCCGCACAATGTCCCTATTGTCACACTTCCATGCCTCTTTCACAACATCTATCCTGACCCTTTCTTCGGGCTTAGAAGCGTGGCAGCTTGGGCTAGTTGGTATGGCATGACGATAGTTATAGCGCGAGAACAAAACGACAACACAGCGACACCTGGAGACCCGTCGACACAATGCTGATGCGGGCGCACTTCACAAGATGCGGAAAGTCTGATAAGAAGTGCAGACTTCTGCAGTGATCTGCAGGGTGCTTCACTTTGCAAACAACTGACTTTGAAGAACCCTTTATGCCAAATTGTCGCCACATACTCCTGTTCCAGGATGCACCATCTGTGGTCACAAAATCCACAAAAAGCCCAGACTTCTCGGCAGTTAGTGTTGCATCGACAATGATTTTTGCAAGCACATCTGCCTTGACATTTCCATGGGAGCCGAAAACCCCTAAGATTTGCTGAAAGTTGCCTGAAAATGGCTGGTACAATACTACTAGACCGTGATCACACGTTTGTGTGCTTTGATCTAGAGAAGTGTATTTGCCAAGTCAACGAAACCTTCGATGAATCCACTGCTTGTCACTTTGAGGCTCTCCAAGAGCTTCAGCTCGTCAATTAAGAGACCTCCGTGCCTGTGAAACTCATCTATACTTTTGGTTTTTTCTTCGATGGCAGCAAAACATTATCATTGAACCCAAAGTTGCTCTTATAATTTCTCACGTACTTGTTCAAACAACTCTTGCTGGGCAAGACCATTATTTTATGCTTTCGAATATGCTCATACAGCTTTGGGCTTTTCATGCGCATTATAATGCAGCCCAGAAGCCATTTATCGCTGTACTTCATCCCCTGTGTTCCTTTCCTTTTCGCTGCTTCAAAGCATGTTTGTACCTGCTGCCGCTGTTTCTCAGGCAGCTTAGACAGACTCTCCTGAAGGTATGATTCAGAGAGGGCAGAATTACTTTGCTTCATTTTTGCAAGCATTTGCTTTAGTTCACTGACTTTTGCCTTTTCTCGCCTCAACTGTCTTCCCCGCATAATTAGTTTCTTCGAAGCACGGTAACCAGTAGCCACTCTAGCTTCTCTCTTCTTATAGGATGCTTGGTTCAAAAGCAGTTTCCTTAGACACCTGCAGTGTATACAAGGCCTTTGATCTTGAGACATGCCTGAGCAACTTTTGCTGTACAACTTGTTTCCAAGCGTTCTGTATTTTGATTGATTGGAACTGTTAAGCCGCTCCAGTGGAATAGCACCTTGCTCAAAACCGGAGTACACAACCATCTCGTTGATGGAGTGGAGGAGGCTTTCCACAGCATTCACATCAAACACGTCCACTTTTTTTACAACTTTCCCTTGCACAAACACTACACAATGATAGCAAGTATCCTCAGCAGAGCACAACACCAGTCTCTTGAAGCACACACTATCACCATCTTGAGCCCAAACAGTAAACGCAACAGCATTCGGGGCATCCGCAAGTAGGCACATCGACCAGTATTTGCTTGGAAGCTTCTCACTTTTCATATGCTCCAGTTTTTCCACTGTACACGACGTGCCGGGAATACGTTCACCGTTCGTTGTCACATCTAAGGAAGAATCGTGCTCCATCGAAGGAAGTTCGTTTTCATCGTTCACTTTTCTTTTTTTGCCGAGCACTTCTCCTCTCGATGTCCGGGAGCTGCGCTTCTGAGGAAGCTTTTTAGAGAGATAACTCGGCGTGTTTGGGAAGATCGACGGTATTGCATCGTCGGTAAGGCATGGGCGGCCGCGAGGAATCTTCACAACTTCACCATTCACGATGTGAGTGTAATCTCTCACAATAAACCGTTGCTCGAAGTGTAACTCGCACAGGACTGCAGTTCGGTCGAGCAGTTTGTCACCGCGTGGAACGTACCGCTGCCATGCTTTCAGCCGGTCCTCATCGTTCGGTACGGTAAAAACAGACCTTTTTACACCTGCCTTTCGGGCTGAAACGTACCCGGTAGAGCATCCGGGCGCGAAGCAGTGAGTCTGGCGCTTCACTGGTTTAGCCATCACGATATGCGGTGTGAAGAGGCTTCAAAACTTCGAACATCGTGCGAACAGTACAAACGCAAGCCGCGGAAACGCACGTGCTCCGCTTCGGCCCAGAGGGGCATCTAAAGAAACGACACGCGCGCCACCGCTCGTCGGCATGAACAATTGACACCCTCTCTGCCAACCTCCGCAGCGCGCGATGCTCCCACCTCCCCTTCTAGCCACCATAACTACTATGGGGCTACCACACGGGACCTTCCTCCGTGGGGCCACCATATAGTAGTACACACATTTGTCTATTCTTCGTACTTCAGGTAGAGGTGTGCGCCGAGGAGATTTCGATCGGCGGCGGCGTGGGGGTCGTCCGGAGTCGACGGCGGCGGCGTCGTCGGCGCACGCCGGTTATTTCATCGGCGGCGGCGTACGGTCAATTTTCGGCGGCGGCGGCGGCGCCGGCGGCGCGGAAACCGAAACTAAAAATTCAAAAGGATGTTCTGGCACAGGTTACTGAATTAGTTGGAATTCAGAGATGTTCATTCAGATAGCATAAAGGACACTACACAGATGTGTCAAAATCACGATGAATGCAAAGCGTTTTGTAAAAACGTTTTGATTTCGCTTTCATAAAAAAATAACGCGCATTTCAATCTATGTCCATGTTCTACCACGAATGTGCAGCACTTCGCTTGTTTGTTTGTTTTTCAATTTAGGATGCCGCAGTTTGTTGCTGTTGTTTGCTAAGTCATACTTCATGAAGCCTTCTTTCATTGAACCAAGAGCAAGCACCGACGCACGTCACTCGGTTAGGTATACGTTCGCTAGTTTTGAATCAGATCTTACTTTTACAATATATGCTGCACGAAAAAAGAAGCGCCTCTGCTCGGAACTTTCTTATTGCGATTGCATGAAATAGCTTTTTTGAGTATCTGTCGTTCCTTGAATGTAACTTTCCTTCAAACGGATCAAATTGCCTACTTTTCATAATGTGAGAACGTTTTATGCAGCGGAAGAAAACAAATCTGCGCGTATTTAGTGAACTAGTCATCAGCACAGTGTTGAATATATGAAGTTTAGACATGAGCGTGGGCGAGGCGGGTGGTGCAAAAGGGGCACTTGACCCCCTCAAGCCACGCCAGCACTTGCTACTCGCTCTAGCGACACCAACATGACCCCCCCTCTCTCTCAGCCGTGATGCAAGTTGAAAGAAGGGTTTGTATCCCCCCTCAAGACAAAAGAAAAAATCCTGTCGACGGTCATTTGTGCAGATGAGAGCAAATGCAATATTTGCTCAGATGCACAGTTATTTCTCAAAAAATATTTTTCATGATGCACAACATAATTCAACTTCGGTGCAACTTTCTGTGTCAGTCATACCAGATTTTTTTTACGTGTAAGTGAGAAAACAAGCACACCATGTTGTGGATAATATAGAATATTTATTTCGGAACCAAACAAACCTGGAAAACAGGCATCAAACGAGCAAACAAACCAACTGGGCCGAAAACAATGTTTGTATAAAAATGTCGCTTATAGGCAAGATTTGCAGTGACTGTAATTATCATGGATAAACAAAAGTTTATCTACAGTTAGCGGGTGCAAACTGGCTCTTCGAGATCGAAGGACAAGACCAGCCACAGAAAAGACTCTTTCACTTGGGGTGCTCGTGGCCGGGATGCACAGCATTTTCTTAGCCAGGCATGAGAGCCATGGCAGCTCGTTCTGGGTGTCTTTCCAAAACTTCAGCACGTCGTTTACTTGGGCGCAAGGCTTACTTAACAGTGCGTGACATTCTGAGTTGATCTCATTTGTCCAATGCTGTGGTGTATTGGAATGACGCCGTGCTAAGGACGTCAAAGCGTCACTGTTAGGGCGCATGTCACGTTCAGTTGTCCTTATGACATCGCATTCTTTGATATGGTGACGCACCTGCTTCGCTAGAAATTCAAGTTTTGATGTGTTCTTCTGTGCTAGGTACTCTTCAACGGCATGTAGGTTTTGGAATCTGGGATCAAGAAGTGATGCCGTGACCATAGCATTGGTAAGGGGAAACCTGTGTTCAAACTTCTGCAACATCTCTGTCTTCATTTCTTACACGTCGCTACTTCCTGATGTGTCTTTCAATGAAGTGAGAAGCTCGCTTCTAATGACTATGAGGAAATTAAACGTGCTGGATTTTTGCTGCGAAAACAGCTCCACTGCGCACTTAAATTGGCTCAGAAATTTTACAACTTCTTCAATCAGACACCAGTCTTCAATGCCCGCGAATGGGTGCCCTAGCCTAGCCAGCAACCTTCTAAGCGCAGCCTTATTGGCTTGGAGGCTCTCGAACATCGCCAATATGCTGTGCCACCTGGTAGGCGTGTCAAGCTTCATGGTGACTGCTCCTCCCCGTGCCACTGGAGCGGCATTGTACGAGTGTTCGCTGTTTTGATAGCCTTCGTCAAGTACTGGATCGTTTTCGTCGTGTTCGAGCGTTTCCGCAGTGCTTACCAACAATTGTACCATGGCATTCAGTTCAGAGTCCGCAATCTCTTGAAGCTCCGAAGCTCGATAATGCACAGTCTTCACAATTTCACGACAGTTGATCAACAAGCTGTGAAGTTCTGGGACGCTTCCGAATCCGTCCTTGATGACCAAATTATGCAAGGCATGCCCTATACATAAGTGGTGTTCTGTGCGAGCGAGAGCCGCTGCGCGCCTCATGTTGGAACCAGCGTCAGTAACTGCGTACACTTCTTTTTCTTCCATACCAAACTCTTCTATGCACCTTTGAAATTCATTCATTATTGCAGTGCCTGTGTGCCTTTCATTCATATGCCTGGTGCTCAGAGTCAACGATACAAGCTCGAAGTTCTCTGAAATAAAAACAGCAACCACAAGTATTAAAAACCTGGTGAAAATAACCCAAATGAGGATTATCACAAGAAATATTCTGTTGTCATTTAATCATTCATAGTTCACACCTCTCTCCACAACCAAGTTAGGCACATTTTCGTGTTCAGTACGTCCAGTATAAATTCCAAATCTCATGCTTGTTTCAAGGCATGGTATGGGCGGAACACAAACACTCAGGCACCAGCTTTCCACTCGTGACGTTGCAGCACTACGAAAACTTCAATCGTATATTGAGCAAATTTTTTTGCTTTGTTATAGCGCTGAGGTGTACAGCCACATGCGAGTAAATGTTTACATATCCTCTCATGCCGCCACGGGCAAGTTTCGTAATAATTAAAATGAAATTGGGTCGTACAAGCCAAAGTAAATGAAATATCAAGGAAAGGTCTTTGTCATGTTGCATTGAAATAGACTGTAGAAGATTAAGTTAAAGAACTAGGAGCCTACTGGAATATTAAAGGATTCGTAACCACAAGAGATAAACGGAAAGATAAAATGGCCATGATCAACGAAACATGGGCAACGTGTTATTCCACGTAAAATGTAACGACCTGATCATGGCCTGGTATGTTAATATACCACCGGGATGTTAATATACCACGCACAAAAACTAAAGGAAGCATTCAATACTGACAAGGCATTCTTTAACGAAAAAGATACATATATATCAAGGCTATTCTTGTGAATTCATATGCAGATGCATTGAAAAAGCTGGGACGCGATACCAAAAGTGCTTAAAAGAAAAGCGAAGAAAAGTACGACCCATACAGCTTTTACAAACGAAACTACTTTTCTGCACGGCAATATTGTCCTTCATGAACACCTCTCGCACATATGTGTTGATACACGTGCTCATATATATTGCAGCATAAGCAAAAAACTTACGGTTAACAAGGTGACAAGTGAATGTGATGTAGGCTCGCCGCCTGTAGCTGTCGGTCCACAGGTCGTACGTGACGGCACAGAACCTCGGCCCCTGAACCACCGTCTTCTTCACCTGCCCATGCATTGACCGGTACACGTCATCCAGCGCTGACCTCGACAAGGTGGTCCGGTCAGGAAGCTCTTGGAGCTCCTTTATCACCCCATATTTTATGAAGAAGTCCTACAGAGAAGAAATAACTCTTTGTTCACACCTATCACGACATTAAAAAAAACGAAATGCAGCCACGGCGCTTTTGTCTATACACCCACCTGTAATCCTTCACCGTTGACCAAGTTAAAAGGCAGCAGGTCTCTAGCAATCAAAAGAACCAGGTCCCTGGCGAGCAAATTCTTCCTAGACGATGATGTCGTGTTACGCCTAGGAACCACTTGGAAGTAATTTTTTACTGTCACCCTAGATGCACCCTGGCTGTCATCCTGCAGTTTGTGCTCATCCACCAAGTGTCTCTGCATGTTCGACGTGCTCACTGTTGACGCGTAGCGTTTTATCTTGCATCTGCAGCAGAAACAGAAGAATAATGAACTCTCACTATGAAATTATCAAAGGGCTAAGCCCAAACATTTTATCAAAATAAATAACCAAAGACGCTTTACTCACGATTCGAATGGCTTTGAGTCGTCGTCATTTGATGATTTCGTCAAGCACTTCTCACAATAATAGTCGGTTCCGATTTTCGTCTGCTTTCCTCTGGTGATATACGTCAGGTGCCCGAAATGTTGCCAGACATAGCTAGTCTTCGCTTTCGAGTTTAACGGCATTATGCGGAAATTACCAACCGGCATCTTAAATGTACTGGGGCCGGCAATTTCCATCTCGTCATTAGCTTCATCTCTTGGGACGGGTGCGGTTTCAGACATATCGGCTATATTATCCACACAGGCAGTGCTCTCGAGACTGCAGAAATCGCGATTACTCCCGCGCTGCGAGTTCACTGTTCTTGCTGTGCCATACTGCGTTTTTAAAGCCTAAGGCCATCGACTGAGAGAGAGAGAGAAAGCTTGTTGAGCCGATTATTACTTTCGGTGGTGTCCGATGAGTGAAGCGGATGCTCGTTCGTCTTTCCTCAACCAGCTAATCAGCGCGAACTGGGAGTGACAATAGGGTCTTTTAGCAGTAACACCTGTATGGTATTACTGCACCACTCCTCCTATCTCACTTGCTAGACTTTAGTCGCACCCTTTACCAGTCAGTGGCGTTCCCTCCTCAAAGGCGGATGCACACACGCCTGCACCAATGGGTGTATACTCTGGAATCCGTACTGGTCACGCCCGTTGACCACACCTGCAGAGAACATTGACTCCCTGACCCCTTTGTGCTTGGTCAGGGGAGGGGGACACCCCTTGCAAGTGCGCTCCCTTAAAATTTCTTTTACAAAACGTCAAAAATAAGGATGTTTGATAAGTGTGTATAAAACATTCAACTTTTTAATGTTTGTTTTTTGTAGCGTGTACCCGCGCTCAATACCCATCAGCTGTGTGAGACAATTAAAATTGCAACTGACACTTTCGACTGGTTCTGGAAAATACTCATTAGAAGAATGCAATTACGTGTGCTGGGAACCTATGTTCATTTGTCAGTTTGATTTTTAGGCATGATTTTAATTTCTATATAAACAAAAATAAAACCTGCAACATATTAAAAAAAATGGCTGCTATTGCAAGATGTGTGTCCCCTTCGTGATTTTTTTAGACTTACGCCTCTGCAAGCCACATCTGGTGTCACAAACTTGCAAGTGTCCCCTCTGCTCCCCACGACATCTCCCGATCCCCCCCCCCCCTTCAATAAAAAGGCACCAATGTAGGCCTCCGTAGGCCTCCATGATTGCCTACTGGCGCGTGGCGGGCCATTTTGGTGGCTATAGGGCCAACAGTACCGACTTCGACATCACCTTATTGGAGGTGCTGAAGGATCAAGAAAAGCCCAATCGTCGTAAATTTCTTAAAAGTTCAGTAATAGTATATTTGTGGATACCATGGATTATTGAACCTCACTTTGTGTATAATGCTCCAATGAAAAAAGAATGGTTTCTCCCTGTGACAATGCAGAGTCAGAAGCCATCACATGCGCAGGCATCATTAAGCTTCTACATAACATTGCTAAGGTTCTGTACATTTGTACAAATAATTGTCGTTAAGTGAACATTTTGAGTATAATACTTGCTTGTGTTAATATGTGTGAAACATGAATTTTAGATATAAAAATTCTCATTGTGGGTTTCTGCAGCAAAGACACATTGATTAAAACTGATGATTCCGGAGTTAGGGCAAAGGCAACATACCAGCACTAAATAGACCTACTAGAGTGATGTCAGCCCACACCGTCAGTTGTGGTTGCGGTCTATAGGCTGGCTATAAACATTACATGGATATATTCTTTTGACCCAGCACGCTATAGTGAAGGGTTGCTCGACCATTGAAAATCTCGACCTTTGAGGAATACACAACAGCTTCTTTATGCATATTATCCCACCGAAGCGTGCCCTTTGTTTCGCTAAAATTTACAGCCAACGTGAGTGCTGTTGTCACGCCGTATGTTTTAGGTAGAAATTTAGCCTACTGAAATTACCCAAAGACGTCGATCCACCTTGAAACGCGTGGTTATACTCGCTGACTGTTCTGTATTAAAATGGCATCCAGAGTGAAAGCTGTTGCATCTGCTGAAATTTTATTGCAACATTATTATGCATGCAACGCTCGCTTGTATTTTTATGTCACTGTCTTGCGCAAAGGCACCGCCGTAGCGGTTCAGTGGCTAAGGTACTCGGCTGCTGACCCGCAGGTCACGGGATTGAATCCTGGCTGCGGCGGCTGCACTTTCGATAGAGGCGAAAATGCTGTAGGCCCATGCGCTCGGATTTGGGTGCATGTTAAAGAAACCGAGGTAGTCAAAATTTCTGGAGTCCTCCACTACGGTATATCTCTCATAATCATATGGTGGTGTTGGGACGTTAAACACTACATAATAACGATTGCCTTGCGCCAAGCACGCTGGGCTGTCTGCGAAAATTCTAGATTATCATATAAGTTTGAGACACGTACGATATGGATGATGTTCGATGCCACGTGTATAAATGGCGACATACCTTCGCGCAGATCCTATTACCGACGACCAATGCTCTGATTACCGCTATCTGCGTAAAGCGTGAATTTCTAGTACTTTGTACTTTACTAGGCACATGTTCACTCAATAAAAAGTGTCGTCTTGGGCAACCCAAGTACCATCTTTTTTGCCGTCGCAACCACGTGGCAATACCGTAAGTGAAATGAGAACTGTGAAATGATTGATGCAAAACAGTGAGATGGGGCGTAAGTGCACGCCCAAGTTTTGTTTAAGATGCGTATACAACAAGCTATTTTCTTCTATAGAACCAATATGATGCGGATTTGTTAAAATACTGTAAAGATGAATGTCAAGAATAGAAGAACATAAACCTATAAAAAGACAGTGGAGACGAAAAGTGAGAGGTATCGACGTAAAGTTTGATCGGTCGTTCCCCGCCAAACGTCCAAAACGTTTTGTCGACTATCTCAGGTGTATTCGAAAAAAAAAAGTCGGGCTGATTTACGCCATTGAAATCAATCTATCGCAAAAATTCTATCCAGAGAAAAATATTTTTGGTGACCTATATGTGACTGAAATTTCATCTATAGGCTGGGCCCTATATTGAGTCCTAAGATAAAAGCATATTTAGTGAGAGAGTCTATGTATAGGCTCTATTTATTTTGCCGACCTATAGTTTCGAATATTTAAAACCTCCCACTATGGCGTGCCTTGGTGTCGTATTGACGTTCTGACTTGTAAAGCCGAAAATTTTATTTTTCAAATTATAAACTGTTGATATCTTCCCCCCTCCCTTCCCCGGCACTCGTTCTAGGCTTGGTCCTTTGATAAAGGCCAGTCACATATCTTTAATAAAATGCTTGGATATCAACTATTCATAACTCTCATTTAAGGATGTGCAAATGAAATGACGTCACTAAATCACCGATGAGGTGAGGAGGAGGAAGAAACTTTATTCAGAGAAAAAAAAATGAAATGCAGGCAGTTTGGTCGGGCCCTCAGTCCAGGGCTCCGCTGGCACGAGCGGCTCGCTGGACCTGGTCAAGCAAAGCTATTTGGCTCTGCTTGTCCTCGTCCGCAAGCCATGCCTCCCACTGCCTGTGAAACATGTGTGGTTGCTTCGTGATGTGTGGGCTGTCGATGTGTGTGGGCCTCTGGGTGCACTCCCATGTTATGTGGCTGAGTGTTGGTACTTGTGAACACCACGGACAGGTGTCTTTATATCTTGCGGGATATATTCTACTTAGATGGTACAAATTGGGAAAGCTATTGGTTTGTATGCGTCTTCAATCCCTGCTTTGCTGGCTATCCAAGTCCTTATGTGGAAGCCCATATTCCTTTCGTTGCTTCCTTTGTTGGAGGAGGATGTCACGCGAATTGGAAAGAGGTTCAACGTCGTGGCCTGCCGTCGCTCGGTTGGTGATGCCTCGAGCTATACGGTCTGCCACGACGTTCCCCTCCAAACCTTCGTGAGCAGGACACCATATAATGTGATGGTCTCCTGTTATGGGTTTATTTAAAAATTTATACGCTATTTTAGGTAGCGTTCCTCGGAGAAACATTCGGCATGCCGCCTGTGAATCGGAGAGCACAACCACTGATTCTCCCCTGATTTCTGCGTTGGATATGGCTATGGCTATTGCTGCCGCCTCTGCCACTCGTGTGAAACAAGTTTTAACCGACGCCATTGTGGTGTGATTTTGTGCTACAATTGCCACTACATGTGACCCTCTGCTCGCTTTATTTACGTCTGTAAAGACGGCTTCTAAGCTATTCTGAAATGCTTTGCGTAAGGAGTCTGCTCTCGCTTTCCTCCTTCCTGCGTGATACGTCGGATGCATATTTCTGGGAATAGGCGCCACAGTTAAATGTGTGCGTTTTTCCGCACCGATGAGGTGAAACATTAATTTTAAAAGCACAGTAAACGTGACTAAAAAGCTAATTCAACGCTAAAGCAATGTAACCTGAACTAATAATGTCACCACATTTCTAAAACCTCATGCAATGTATATTGCATACCTGCAAGGGGCAGTTACTCGAGCGCTTTTTGCAGTGAAATTTGGCCAGTGAGTTAATCCCGTTCATGGCGGTGCTATTTCTAAATTTAACGTTTGAATATCTAACGAGGCATTAGGAGTTTCTTTCGGTGAAATCCATGTTTTTTTTTGTGATGTAATTGAGGATTTTATGCATTGTGCTGGCACGAAGTTTATTGTAGATGATGTGTTTATAGAGTACACCGTTCAACGACTGTGGTGAAATAGAAACAGCAATTTATGTTAATTCATGCTGCAAAACTCACGTGACCTGCTCCCAAAGAACAGAAGAATGCATAACGAAGGGCATTACTAACGAACGGAAGAATTAAATAATTCTCGGTCTTTAATGTTGTTTCTGTAGTCCAATCTACAAAAGTTCGTATTAAACGAGCATGACGGTACGAAGGCATGGAATTGGGTTGTGCAGCATGTTGTGACACATGTGCCACTCCAGGTCACCTTTATTACATGACATCGGAATCCACACTGAGCTTGATCTATGATTATGCACCTAATCAACGGAGAATAAGAGCTAAGCTCCGGATTCATTATTAATGTGGCTTCAAAGACGAGAAAACAGCGCGATTCGCGAGCAATCGAGCGCCCGTTCTCTCTCTCTATTTCGTTGAACTGCTTGTGCCCTGAGATGCCACTTCAATTTCTTTTTGAATAAATGTGGCGATCTGGAAAATTGTGAGCGCCAAACAAGGCGCTAACAAGAATGAGAGAGACAGGACGGGTGCTTGTGAACGTCGTGTGGAGGCATTAGTTAGCGCTCAAAATTTCCCGATAGCAATGCGCCATCTGGCAGGATTTCAAGTTTTGTTAAAATGAAGCGATGACACGGATCATGGGTTTTTGTCATGTAATTTGCTACCAATTAAACAGTGGCTGCGTAATTTAGGTTACCATGAAAATTGTCGCGGCCATATTTAAAGAAGGGAGGAGGCAGAAACGCACCGTTCACGCCATACGTGATCCTTCATCACTCGTGGAAATAAATTTATTCAAGCTGTAACGTGATTGAAGAATTCTGTTACTTCTCGGCAATCAGAGAGGCTTTTAATTATCCAGTCTCTTTATGAGATATTGCTGCCATCTTTTTCCAACAGGCCTGCAGTTCTGTTGTACCGACATAGCAACACCCATGTTTTTGAAATTTTTTTTTCATTGCCATTCAAAAACGTTTCCATTC